CTAGTTTGGTGTTTTCCCACGCTAGTGTTTTGGGTTTCCCAAACTTGAATATTTATGCTTACATCTCAAAGGACCTTAATTTGAATGTTTATTCATACTGATATGTATGTATCTCAATGGCCCTCTGCAAATTGGGAATTGCCCTCTCTGCAAAATAGTTTAGCTGCTACGTGTGGTTTCTGTTGGTGTAAAAAAGTTCTTTTCTGAATCCCTATAGAATATAAAGGCCCCAGAGACTGAGGAGGTAACCTTCTTCCTGCTTTCCTCCTCTACCAAACAATCAATTAAATTTCTTTCTAAAACTGTTTCAGATTTTGGGCTTTGTTCTCTTTGACTAACAGTGGAACTGACAGGTCTAAGCAACAGATTGGATATGGGAGGTGAGAAAGTGAGAAATTAAGGATGACACCGAGGTTGCAAGTTTGAGTGCCTGGGAGCATGGTGGTGCCTTTGACCGTAATAGGAAAACTAAGAAGAGGGGAGGGTTTTTGAAGAAAGATAGAGTTCAGTTTTGGATGTGTTGAATTTAAGATGTTTGGTTTAAGATGACCAATAGACAGTTGGAGACGTAAATCTGGAGGTTAGGAGAGTGGATCTGAGAATCATCAGCACAAAGATGGTTAATGAATCCACGGAAATGGATAAGATGACCAAGTGAAGTAGTATAGAGGGAGAAGAGAAGAGGGCCCAAGACAGGGGCCTGTGGTTAGCGGGTGTGACCTAGATGAAGATCCAGCAAAGGACACTGAGAAGGAGCGGACAGATAGGTAGGAGGCAAATCAAGAGACAATAGTGTCCTGCAAACATGGAGAGAAGAGAGTATCAAAGAGAAAAAGGTGAATGAAAGTGATGAGGCAGATGGAGCAAACAGGATGCAGCAGGTGAGATATGAGACAGGATGCAGGATGTGACCAGCCAGAAAGGGCTCAAGACGACAGTGCACTGAAGCCCCACACAGTGGGCTTACCGGACATTCCAGAACAGCTCTTCCCTTCCCCCTTTCCTGTTCCCCTTGCTTATCTGTATGGACTCCCAATATTTTGAACTATAGTAGTTCCCCCACCCCCTCCCACTTTCCTTTCATCAAACTGTATATAGACCAGACATATAACCTGGTTCAGTGCTCTGTCTCCCATGGGGAACAGGGTCCACTGGGGCTCTGGCCTCCCATAAGGAGCAGAGACTGCTAGGTGCGTCACCCCAGTAAATGCCTTTACTTGACTTGGCGATGGTCTATGAGAATTTTTTGAAGACAAAACTGTGACCCACTCACCTACTCCTTGTCAAAAGTGTCAAAGGTCTGAGAAAATGCCATTATATTTGGCAACCAAAAGATCATAAATAGTTGCAGCAGAGCGCTTTGAGTTGAATGATGAGGTCAGAAGCCAGACTGCATAGAATTAAGAAGAGTATGAGAAGAAAGGAAGTGGAAGGACCTAAGTATAAGGCCTTCTCAAGGAATTTACCACAAAAGTTAGGAGGGGTAAGGGATGATAGCTAGCAGGGATGGATGGGTTCAGTGAGAGTTTTTGTTTGTTTGCTTGTTTTTGTTTTTTTAAAGGATAAGGAGAGACATGACAGGTTTGCAGGCAGTAGGAAAGGAGTCAATAGACAGGGAGAGACTGAAGATAAGTGAGCATAGGGATGAAAGAGGGGAAATCTGGTTGAGAAGACAGGATGGAATGGGGTCACTTGTGCATATAGAGGAGTCTACCTTGGTAAGCAGAAGGACCACCTTTTCCTGTGAGACAAGAGTGAAGGAGGAGGGGCAGCTAGGTGGGACAGTGGGTAGAGTACTGGGCCTGGAGTCAGGAAGACTTGACTTCCTCAGTTCAAATCTGGCCTTAGACACTTACTAGCTGTGTGACTCTGGGCAAGTCACTTTACCCTGTTTGCCTCAGTGTCCTTATTTGTAAAATGAGCTGCAGAAGGAAATGGCAAACCACTCCAGTATCTTTGCAAGAAGATCCCAAATGGGGTCACGAGGAGTCATATACAACTGAACAAAAGTGAAGGAGGAGATAGTGTCAGAAGGTCACTATGTGAGACGTGAGTCGAGGAGGAGAGGAGAAGAAGCTCACAGAGAATGGCCTCAATCTTTGTCAGTGAAATACAAGGTAAAGTTCTCAGCTGAGAGGGTGGAGAGGATGCCTTTTAAATATAAAAGACATCAATAAAGCATTAAAACTAAAAATTCAAGAATAACTCATATACCTAAATTGGTAGACTCCCCATCACTCAAACCTAGGATGAGGCCGATTCTGCTGTGATTTTTGATACAGGAGCCAAGGCTACTCAGGTAAATTCACTCCTTTTGTCTTTAGGTTCGATAGCCCTGGGGCATATGGAGGGTTTCTACAGATCAGATGCTTGGCCTTCTCAGTACTGTTCTGGGCCAGGCTGCCCACTCTCTCTTGCTGAGTTTTGTCTATTCGACTATGGCTCTCTCCCCCATTACCAATGCTGTGCACACAGAGAGATGGAGGAAGGCCAGGGGCCATTAGGCCATTCCAGCTGGTGCCTGCTGGTCCTCTCCCTTTCCTCTAGTTAATCATTGAAAAGGCCTGAGGGCCAGGAGGCTTCAGCAAGGAATATGGTACATGTGGAAATATGTTTGGGGGAAGTTACAGGCTAGGTCTTTCTGAGGCTAAGGAAAGACTGTAAACTTCAGCATAGCAACCTTCCACCTTCTGCCATCACTTCAGACAAAGGCGATCATAGATTCCAGGCTGGAGGGGATCTCAGAACCCATCAAGTCCAAAGCCCTTATTTTACAGATGAGGAACTGGGCGTGTGCCCAGTGAAATAAAATACCTCGCCCAGGGTTGCACAGCTAGTGTCTGAGTGATTCGATTGGAAATCTGCTTTTTCCAGTCCAAGTAGAGAATTCTCTCCATTATGAGGCTTAAACTAGTGACACACAGCCCCTTAGGGGATCGATTGTAGGTAGGGCAAAGGCTGGATCTTGTTCACCACACCCTCTACAAGAGACGGTGTGAGCCTGCAGCGGTTACTTACTTGGATTCAGGAAGACCTGGGTTCAGTCCTTTCCTCTGACACCTACTGGCTAAGTGACCCTGGGCAAGTCATTTAATCTCTCAGTGTGCCCGGTAACTGCCCAATACTAAGCTGCAAAGAAGCGCAGATCTAGATGGCCAATGAAATCATAAGTCAAGTGCTACCAACCTGCTGTCCTACCTATCAGCCTGCTGGCACTGGAAGAGCTGTGGGTAAGCCAGGGTCCTTGCCCTGGTACCCTGAAACCTTCCTGGGCTTCTACTTAAGCCCTGTGACATAAATACAATCTGCATTCTCAAACTCCCCTTATCTGCAGGCAGAATGCCCGTCACTACTCCGTTTACAACTCCAGCCATTTTTAGAAGAGGGAGGGCTTGAGGTTTATGGTTTTTTTATGAGCTCCCCAAAATGAAGGGGCTTTACATGATGCCTATGATCAGGATTAGTAGGGGAAGTAAGGAAGTCCCAAACCTCTGTCCCACTCTGAGAAGTGATAATATCATTTTTTTTCCAATGGGCCTATGACATTGAGAGGGGCAGCTAGCTGGTTCAGCGGATAGTGTGCTGGGCCTGGAGTCAGGGAGGAAGATTCATCATTCTGAGTTCAAAATCTGGCCTCAGATACTTATTAGCCATGTGACCCTGGGAAAGTCACTTAACCTTGTTTGCCTCAGTTTCCTCCTCTGTCAAATGAACTGAAGAAGGAAAAGGTAAACCACTCCAGCATCTTTGCGAAGAAAACCCCAAATGAGGTGGCCAAGAGTTGGACATGACAGAAAACAACTGAACAACAAAAATGACCCTGGTAAAGTTTCAACTGGTTTTAGGGAGCAACCCTTCTGGGCGTGGTTCTCCATGAGGGTGTCTGTTCCACTCTCACTTTTTTCAATTCAACTCAGCAAGTGTTTATTCTGCCCTATTATGTATAAGTGCTGCTGTGTTAGATGCCACTGATATAAAAACAAGAGTCCCTGCTCCCCATTTTTTTTTTTGCTAGGCAATGGGATTAAGTGACTTGCCCAGGGTCACACAGCTAGTGAGTGTTATGTGTCTGAAGCCGCATTTGAACTCAAGTCCTCCTGAATCCAGAGCTGGTGCTCTATCCACTGCACCACCGAGCTGCTCCCCCTGCTCCCCATTTGTTTAACAATACTTTACTAAGCTCTTATTGAGTCTGGCACTGTGCTAGGACCTTCCCTTTCCTCCCTTCCTTTCTCCTCCCTTCCTCCTTTTCTCCTTCCTTTTCTCTTCCCTTCCTTCCTCTTTCCTCCACTTCTCTTCACTGTCCTTCTCTTCCTTTCCCTTCCCTCTCCTCTCCTCCTTTTCTTTCTCCTCTCCTCCCTCTCCTTCCCTTCCTTTCTCCTGGGAGCAAACATGTGCATAGGTAGGTAAATAAAAAACAATTTCTTTTCTTTCTTTTTTTTTTTCTTTAGGCAAGTGGGGTTAAGTGACTTGCCCAGAGTCACACAGCTAGAAAGTGTCAAGTGTTTGGTCTGAGGCTGGATTTGAACTCAAGTCCTCCTGACTTCAGGGCTGGTGCTGTATCCACTGTGCCACCTAGTTGCCCCAATAAAAAACAATTTCAAGAGGAAGAAAACACTAATAACTGGGGGGCTCAGTAAAAGCCATCATAAATTGGGTTATTAAAGAAGCTAGGGATTCTAAGAGACGATGGTGGGAGACAGGACAGGCAGTTTGTCCAAAGGTTCAGTGGTGGGAGATGGCATATCAGATAACAGGGTAACAACTGGCAGGGTAGCCTGAGGGGATCAGAAACTGCAGGAAGGGTAGCTGTATGAGACAAGACTGGAAAGGCAGGTGGGAGCCAGATTGTTGAGGGCTTCAAAAGCCAGGCGGAGAATATTGTATTTTCTATTGGAAGCAATAGGGAGCCACTGAGGGTTTTTGAGTTGGAAATAAATAAATGTTTAGACTGCCGTTTTAGGAATAATAGTTTGCTACCTTTCTCTCTCTGCTACCAGGAAAACCACACCTGTGTATACCTACCAGCAGTATACAGGCTCTCTACAGACTCAGATCTGATCTTGGCAGGAAAGAGACACACCCAAGGATTCCTCTGACGACAAGTTGCTGCAAAACACATCTTATGAATGGGTCCCTTGACCTCCAACCCTGGGGAGATTTCAGTAAATTTCCAGAGAACTGTGATTCCACCCCCTACCCTCTCAGGCTCAGTGAACGAAGTCAGCACATGAAGGGCAGCACTGTGTCCCCAAGCCTGGGTGCGCAACATGAGGCTGGTGCTGGCCCAGGCTCCGTCAGAGAGAGGAAGGGGAGTGTGGCTTTGGGCCTAACACTGGCTGCCCTGGAGGCTTTGCCAAAAGGAAAAATACATGTAATTCTGTCTATGTGTGCTTTTCTTCTCCCTTTTCTAACATTTACATAGAACTCTGTCACTTACAAAGTACTTTACAGACATTATCTCTTCTGATCCCCACAACAGACCTAGGAGGGAGGCAGTACAGGGATTTTTATCCCCATTTCACAGATAAGGAAACTGAGGCATGGAGAGGGCGTAGAGAAGTGACTTGTGAAAAGGCACACCGATAATTTGCAGTGGAGCCAGAATCTGAAACCGTTTCATAGAATCATAGGAGCTTGTTTCCCCTTTCCTCTTTCCAGTACTACATCAAATGCTCCTGTTTTTATCATGCTCACACAACACTGTGCTGGGTACTAATATACTTTGTATAAAATGCAGCCTCTGTTCTCAAACAGAGCAAGGATAAGTTAAGTCACAGGAGAAAACAGTGAGAATGCTTTGTAAACCAAGCACTAATGGGAGGAATCTTACTATTATTAATATTGCTACCACCAATAAGTTTTGAATTATTGATTCAAATTATTAATATTAATAAATATTATTCTTTAAAAGGCAGTGTTGGGTAAAGGCTAGGCAGCCAGTCTCAGAGTCAGAAAATTAAGTCTTGCCTTTGATGTATACTGGCGATGTGACTATGGATAGGAAACAACCTGGCAATATTCCAGATAACTCCTTAAGACCACTGGGTGCAGAGAAGGTGCAGATTTGTGTTCACAGAGGGAGGCAGGTGAGATGGAGCCCTGGGCTTGGAGTCAGGAAGACATGAGTTCAAATCTAGCCTTAGACCCTTACTAGCAATATGACCCTGGGCAAGTCACTTAACTTCTGTTTGTCTCCATTTTCTCATCTGTAAAATATATGATAGCATCTATCTCACAGGGTCTTTGTGAGAATCAAATGAGATAATTGAAAAGTGTTTTTAGCACAGTGCCTGGCACATAGTAGGAGTTACATAAATGTACTTTCTCTTCCCTTTCCCCATACCAATGAAATCAGAAGTCCAATGAAAACATTTTGTTATCACGGGTCAGAGGGGGACTGAAATTCAAGCCTTCCTTCCTTGCCTCATGAATCCAGGCACATGTGGTCTCTTCATCAGATAAAAAAGGAACTGCGTAAGCCTGCCCTCTTCTATGAATGGAGTTATAAATAGTGTTTAGTGATGGGCTCTGCTTAAGGGCAATGAAATTTAGAGGCATGGACAGCATTTAGATTCCTTTAACAGCGTATAAACAACTAAGCTTCTCTCCTCTTTAACAAGCATAATTAATTAAAATGAGAGCCAGCATGTCTGTAGCGACAAGGGCCATCTTGATATCAGAAAGGCCTGGATTTAAGTCCAACAGCGGCTGGAAAAGACACCTACCCTCTGAGGGTTCTAGGCCCCTTCCTAAGACTAGACATCTCTTTTTTTTGTACTTCAATAAGTTGTTTCAGCTGCTGTCTCACCCTGGGAGACTCACTCAGTACCTGGTGACTCATCACCCTACAACTACCATTTACCCTGTCGTCTTTTCACCCTGTAATGTCCGTCCCTCCGCCAATGCCAGCCTCCTTCTCCCGTTGGAGAGGTCCTCTCTGGGGTTTCCATTTAGGGGAGGGCCCTAGGATGGCCTAACAGCATTCCCACCCTGGTTCTCTTTATAACTGTCTAGATTTCAACACCATGTCCCTATGGGGGTACTCCCCCTTTACCCCCACCTCTCGTTTTCAGCTCCTTCTTGTGTATTGTCTTCCCCTGGTAGAATGTAAGCTCCTTGAGGGCAGGGACTACCTCTCTTTTTGCTGGTATTTGTATCCCCAATGCTCAGCACAGTGCCTGGCACATAGTAAGAGCTTACTAAATTATTGTTGCATTTTTAAATGCTTGTTGCCCTAAATGTTATAGATAAGTTACAGATCTTTGACACTGGAAGGAGTTTCCTTATTAAAACGTGAGCTGCTTGGTGGCAAGGATTGTTTTTTCTTGATCAGATTCATTTCACCAGCACATAGCACAGTACCTGGTACAAGGTAAAAACTTTATATATGTATGTTTTTATCTACCTATCCAGGTCTAGACTAAGAAAAAAATTACAGTATTTTCAAAAGAAAGCTATCAGATGGCATGCATTCTAAACCACCTCTTAGTTCTGGATTCTACCACTGGATCTTGTATACTAGGGTATTTGCCTCCTGCAATGGAATTTTTCTTTAAAAAAGTGATTTGAGGATCCATTTCATACTCTAAAATGAGGGGGTTGCACAATATGATTGCTATTATTTTCCAGGCACTGTGCTAAGCATTTTCCAAATATTATCTCATTTAATCTTCACAACAACCCTGTGAGGTAGGTGCTGGTATTACCCCCATTTTGTTTTTGTTCAGTTGTTTTTCAGTCATGTCTGACTCTTTATGACCCTATTTAGGGTTTTCCTGGCAAAGATGCTGGACTGGTTTGCCATTTCCTTCTCCAGTTCATTTTACAGATGAGGAAACTGAGGTAAACAAGGTTAAGTGACTTGCCCAGGGTCACACAGCTAAGAAGTGTCTGAGGCCAGATTCGAACTTAGTCTCCTTGACTCTAGGCTTAGTACTCTATCCACTGTGCCACCTAGCTGTCCCCTCCCCATTTTACAGATGAAGAACCTGAGGCAGGTAGAGCTCAAGTGACTTGCTCAGGGTCATGAGGCTAGTAAGTGTCTGAGGCTGTATTTGAAGCCAGGCTTTTCTAACTCCCAGCCTAGTGCTTGCTCCACTGTGCTATCTCATTGCCTATGAGAGGCTTAAGAGACTGGCCCAAGGTCACAAAGGTATTAAGTGTCTGAGAGTCAGGATTTAAACCCAGATTCTCTGAATTCAAATCCAGTGCTTTTCCCACTGTACCACACTGCTTACTGGGGTGACACTGTTCCACAGCTGCTATCTATAGCCTTATTGCTGTAAGTATAGGTGTGAGGGGCAGGTAGACCCTCATTGTGGGTTAGGGGAAAGGAGGAGGAAAGAAAGAAAAAAGAAGAGAGGGTCTTTGTTATGCAATTAACAAAGAATGAGAGACCTTTCAGAGCTATTTTCCGGTAGCCCCAAATTTAACACTACTGGCTATAAAGTACTAAAGCCATGGTGGTTATTCATCTTCAAATCAAATCCCAGGGAGGGTGGGAAAGAACAGTGTCCCCCTAGAGGGGGCCACAGTCAAGATGCTTTACCACCAGGAAGTCTTCCTGAGCCCTCCTATTACAAAGATTTGGCAAGCAGGTTGTTCTCTCCCCCACCACCAAGATGAGCTCTAGGCCCTCTGAGGGGCACCTGGTAAGGTGCCTGGTTCAGAAAGCTCATGAGCCAGATAACTGCTCCAACATTTCCAGGCACTCACAGCCTCTTCCAAAAAGCAGCTTTCTCTTTTGCTGCAGGTCCTCACATGGCTAGCTGGAGGGTGCCTATCCCTGCCCACACCAACAAAAATCTTGAAAATGCCGCAGTTTCAGTTCAATGTTGTTTTCTCCTCTGTTTGACTGTTTACTCAGAGTTGAGATGTCCTCTCAGGTTCCTGAAACCAGGCCAACCCTTCACAAAACCGTGACGGAGGTGAAGGTGGTGTGTGGCACCGTTCTACCTCCCCCACTTCTCCTCCTTCTTTGCTGGTGCCACCCCTGGCCCAGATCCCCTGTTATCTCATTCAAGTCAAGAGACATTTATTCCTGGGAACACCAATCCAAGAAGAAAGAGGGACAGTCCCTGCCCTCAAGAAGCTTATGTTCTAATGGAGGAAGAACAACACATAAAAGGAAGTGAAAAGGGGGTGGGTAGGTCAGAAAAGGTACCAGGAAGCCAGGGGGCATGGTGGAGAAAGTCAGAAGAGTCAGGAGAGGAGGAAAGCCTTGGCTGGCCTGGGTACTTTCCTTAATATGGAGGTTCTTGGAAGAACCAGCCAATCAGAGGAAGGGAGCACAGAGGATAGTGTGAACTTTCAGGGTGAGAAGGCTGCTGTGTCATGGAGAAGAAAGACCAGAGAAGAAAGAATTCATTACATCCTGAATCCTAGGGTTGTGAGGTATTGTGAGCACTGGACTTAGAGTCAGGAAAGAGCTAGGTTTGATTTCCTCCTCACCCCCTTAATGCTTATGAGCAATGTGCCCATGACCAAGCTATGCCTCAGTTTCCTCATCTGTGAAATGGGGAAAATAACTGCACCAAACTCACTGAGTTGTTGTGAGGATCAAATCAGATAATACATGTAAAGACATCTGTTAAACCCCAAAGGGCAACAAAGATGTCTGCTTTCATTTCCTGTATGAACTTGGGCTAGTAAGCTACTTAACTTCTCTGTACCAAGGGGGTTGGATTAGATGGTCTCTAAGATCTATCTAGATCTAGCCTCAGGCACTGTGGCAGAACAGCAGGGGAGATCATGTTGGGGGCTTGGCAGAAGCTGCCTTTCCTGTGAGCCTCAAACCACATTCATGAGCAGCTATGAGTCCCCTACTTGGGACAGGATGGGAGGACCACCTGCAGGGACTCCCTCTGTAAATAGGGCCCCTTGATTAGTCAGAGCTGGAAGAGGAGGCCCCTTGGAATGCGCTAGAGGAAATCCACACCCTGCCTCTGAGTCAGGCCTCTAAGCTTCTTACGCATATGTGGGCAAACATTTTACCTCTCTATTTCTACCATCTGAAAGAGAAACACTCAAAGAGGAAATCTCTACCACTGCATTTATCTGTGATGATGAAGGCGTGACAAAAAGATCCCCGAGAGGGGGAAGTCCAAAGACTCCCAAACCCCATTAAAATAATACCTATAGTCTCTTTCCTTAAACAAATGTTTGGTTAGCTGAGCTACTAACAAGTTAGCAGACTGTCCGAATTGATTCCTTTTCCCTGTTTGTTTTTGGGTCCCACGTCTAAAAAGCGATGAAAGCCCAAAGATGGAGACAGGAGTAGAAAAAGTACTGAGTGGCTACTTAATAATAATAGTTACTATTCACTCCAAATGATACATATGCACTCTAACAAAGCATTGGGCTTTGGTTAAGGAATCTTTTTGCA